TTATATCGAAGAGATCCGCTATTTTTGCCATTTTTAGTGAATCGATATACATTTTTCTAAAGATGCGTTATTCAAATTGACAAAGTTGCACGATTACATTAACGAGACTTAATAGCAAAGTATAGAGGTCGTTTGCAAATTAACTGAATTCGGAATCTTGGAGCAACGTAAACGATATTAAGAGCGCGATTGTAAAATATTTACATCCATTTACTTTTGATACGGTAAATTAATTTTCCTCGTCACTTTATGATGAGCTAGAAATTTACACACATATTAGACAGCAATGTAGACAGTGTGCTTTGCAGGCTAATGTTTCTATGCGTTCATAAAGGTCTAATTTTCGCGCATCAACGCAAATGTACATTAAAGCACGGCCTATTTTATAATCCCGGTATCCGACGCAATTTTCTCCTCTAACTATTTTGTTGCACACAGTTTCATCACGCTCCGCCGTCCGTCTTCGTCTGGCCTGGCCTCTTGAGCCTTTCATATCCCTCGCCCCGTCTTTTCACCCCCGCGCACCGATCTGCCTTCTCACCTTTTCCCCTGCTTGCCCATGGATGTCGTCCTGCTCGCACCATCGCACTGCAGGATCGTAAAAGGCCGGAATTTCTGTTCAAACATCTGCAAAGCCGCGCTCCGGGGCATCTGAGCCCTTCTAAAGCTTCATACAAATTCATGACGGAGCACCAGGACCGCGCGCGCACGCCCGTACTATCCTCCAAGTTTTCGGCAGGATGGGTGCATATGCATGCACGCGCATACGTATCTAGCCCGGTATAGTTCGTAATATTATTTAATACCTCTTTGCGCGCCTCTGTCGTCAACACGGGGATCGTGACGCGGTAAAATTTCGCGGATTAGTCTCGGCATTTTATTAATACGTGTCATCGTTGTTCCCACGCGTCCTCTTCCGGTATACCGTTATATCGACCAAGAGTAGCATTAGTCGACTGCGGTGTGGCCGATGGGTCGTTAGCGTGGCGAGCTGCAAAGTGGAAAGACGTTCAATGAAGATAGATGCGTTGAATGGAAATGTTAGAGCTGAGTCACGAACTGATTACCAGAGAACGCAAATGCGGGTAATTACTTGCTAATGTCATTGTAACACTATGATCTTCTCGCAGTGATATTTGAAAGGACGTTTTCTCCTTATAAATGTAAATTTGGATTCCGACTGTTTATTTGCACTTGCACTTTGTTAAAAAAATAATGTAGGTGCGAATATGTTAGATCAATTTTTTAAAATATAAAAAAAAATATTTTAAAACAATTTTCAGTGCAAGATAAAAACGTACGGTGATCTCAGCTATTCTTTCACGTTTTGTAATATTTTAGCCGATTGCTTCTTTTGTATTTGCTATTTTTGCTAACAGAATACAATGTTTAGCAGGATGCTTCTTGTATCGACAACATTGTACTTTCAATATTATTATATATTGCGAATTGTCCATTATACTGTGTACACAATCAGAGCATCCGTGCGTTCACATATTCAAAGCGTTCTTTTGCGCGCCGGTTGAATATCCGCGCGTTCACTTTTATCATGTATTATTAACGTTTTCCTTTGACAGTTTCGTTGTACACATTGGTGTATATTATTTCACAAAGCACGGCGATTCCAATGGATTTCTATTTTCGTTGAACGCGCGCAAAGCAAAAAATATTTTTCATATACTTCCAATAATTAATATCGGCCAGAGTCCATATATGTTTACATCTTTCACATGAGATGCCGCTTTGCCTCTGCAGACGAGGCTTTATACGGCCGAGTGAAAGTTTCATTGCAAATCGTCGTTAAAAATAACTATTAGTGTTTGCTCAATCCGATGTATTGATTTGCATCCGAGCTTTGAGCTACCCGCTATCTAAATATTCCCGGACTCGTCGAAGAACGGCGGAATACATTAATATCGGATGAGTTGATGGCGAAATGAACTTGTATCGAGAGGACCGATGCCGCTACGATCAAAAACTCATTGCAAATATTTTATCCGACATATTGCATCCGTGGGAGTTAAAAGGGGGGTTGCTTGAGGTGCATCGATCGACAGCCGATCAACATTCTGTTTTGAAGCTCTGTATTTGATAAAGCGAAAAATCATCATTGGAATTTGGTGTTTTCTTCTGAAGTTTTTTGCGTTATCCATTGTTTCTTGTTATTTGTTTTCCTAAATTGCCTAGTCGCAGTTGCACAATCTCTGATAACAGACGTATCCGGGTGTTTCAAAATTTTTACACACGTTTGTTACATAGATTTAAAATCAAAATTATTCTTTATAAAGGATTGAATAAAATCAATTTTAATTAATTGCGAATAAAAAATTATTCTGTGACAAATTCCTATAAATACAAAAAATTAAAATAAAATTTTACAGGAATATTAATTAAAATTATCAATTTTTCTCAAATTTAATTATATGAGTATTATTATTTCTGTCTATTTAATTATATTTAATCTTTTTATATTCTTGACTAAACATTAACTAATGAAATATTAAACATGGCACGCTTCAACGTCAGCGGCAGCTTCAAGCCATCGTATTAATTCAAATAGTTAAACGAAGCAACGAGGAGAATTTAGCGTCATGATCGCAAAACTAATCACTCGTACTTGCTCTTATCGATCGAAGAAATACGTATGTTTGCACCGGCTCCATCAATGTTTTTTTCCGCTTTTACGCTCACGGATGTCCGGTCACTTGACGGCGATCATTCACGGCGCATCGGTGGTCTATCGGGCGAGTGTTATCACGTCACTATCCACGAGACTGTTGCTCGCTCTCTCCGGGCTCGGATTTCGCGCGTTCTCTCAATTATTCGCATCGATCGATTGGCTGCGCCTTGCCCTGCCAATCGACGGCGTTGCACACCATGTCCGCTCTTCGCGAGTGCAGCGCGTGGCAAGGTAGAGTTGGCAGGGCATGTGTCTCGTGAAAGAAACATCGCCGCCCGCTCTAATGGCCGGGGGCCGGTTAATCGCGACTAGAAGGCGAGCAAAGCCGGGGTAAATCGGGGTAAAGATTTATGAACGTCACCGGAGAGGAGCGTATCGCGCCGGCGATTCCAAGCTTCTTTTATGGCTTACGTTTGTTTCGATTTCGTTAATTGTCATTACGGGGACGCGCTGAGCTCCGGGATCGACATTGATTGCTGTTACGCTCGACCGAATCTCTATCGACGATAGAGAAGAGTGATTGTTATGTTTCTAATAAGGGCACGTGTAGAATGGATTTCACCAATGATCGTATTACAATTAGACTAATGTTACGGTACATTAAAAATATCACAGACAGAAGAAGGAAATATATTGATTAAACAGGAAAAATGTGTGTAGACAAAACAGAAAGCACGCACTTAAACGATCTGGAATTTAACTAGTTATAATTAATAATTAACGTTTCGAAATAAGTCAAAAACCCACGAATTTAATCGATCCTACAATATTTAAAATGCTACAAATAAGAAATAATGTAATATCAATTACCTATTAGTCTTTGTTCGATAATCGTTCGATAATCGTTCGATAATCGTCGAGCAATGTAAAAGTATACTGGATTAAAAATGTATTGAGGATCGAAAATATCACTGCAAAGAAGTAAATATCATGTCTAAGTAACGAGAAGAAGCTCTTGTTCTTTCCGTCGGATTCCCAGCGCGAAATTTCTTTCTTAGTCTATCGAATTTTGTTCCCCCATCCATCACATTGTCGACCAATAATTTATTTACCGAAAGTAATTTATCTCGAAACAATCTGTATTTAACTGTATATGTTTTATTACGTATTACACGATTTGAGATTCAGATAAAATTTATATGAAACATCATAAATATAAATTTCACAAAATGTATTAGCAGGCGCGTTAACAGATTGATAGAATATAAATGTCACTATTAATCTGGCATGTGCTGATTTATCAATTATCAACTTTATAAATTATTAACGCGCGCAAGAGAAGATAAAATATGATTATCATTATAATTTTCATTTATAAGCTACATTTTTCATACGTTTTATTGAAGACACTTTTAAAATTATTATTAAAAAATTCATTAGAGAGAAACAGTTGTATTTGTTATATTACATTATTATTCTAGTACTAGATAATATTTAATTAAATTTGCTTTTATGTCAACAATATTCTGTAGAAACAAGCCATTCATATTCTGTCACTGGTAATAACGATAGCTTAATATTGCCAATTTCTTGTCATGGAGTGTCGATCGTTTCCTTCTTTTTTCTGTTTTCTATTAATCCGTGCCAGTCGCCTCTCTGTTATAAAAGGACTCCGCAATAATGCTCCATCATGCAATAATCTCCACATCAATAATGAGACCGAATGGTTACGCGAGCGCGCGCGTGTGTGTGTGTGTGTGTGATCGTGTTTAATGCTTGCATCACCGTGAGCTATTTGCGACAGTCATATAGTGATTTTGCACGAACTTGGTCTAATAAAAAAAATTTTAATGGAAGAGAGATTCCAACACAATCGAATAAGTTTGACGAAAATGTGGCTCCCCTAATAACTTCCTCTATATTTCTCGTCTCGTGACTCTTATAATTTTACTACAATTTTATGTCCGGGTCTACCGCAAACTTTCATAATAGACTACGAGGGGATAAATCAGAGGACGCAATGAAAGTGTATTCTTGTAATTTTACTATTTCGTCGTCTGATAATCTTTATAGCAATTGCGTCGCTAATTTTTTATATTTGCGCGATTATACACGGTTACATTTGTTGTAAGAAATTTTATTTTCGTGCGCTCAACTTTATCTCCACGGTTAAAAGTTATCTGCGTATTATAATACGTAAAGCCATAGATTTCGTTGCTAAATTTTAAGCTGAAATATTTGCATAACCGCTCGCCTCTCCGCTCGCAAGATAACAAGGGCGAAATGTTATTTATCCATTTGCGTGAAGGTACTTGTTCGTTTCTCCGCACTATATTTGCGTCCTCGACCATGCTGAATCAATTCCCGCTTCTGGTTTCAGTGACCATGTTTGATGGCGAGCAATTAAGCTTGACGAGGATCACGCGCAACGAAATGGGCGCTTATCTCTGCATCGCGACCAATGGCGTACCGCCCACGGTCAGCAAGAGGATCACCCTGGATGTCGAATGTGAGTTTGTTACAAGCATACCACTAGCGCAGGACATTATTATCGCATTTGTATGTAACGAATATGAGATGTATGCATTCATTGCGAATGGCATGCAGTTAGCAATACGAGGGGTACAGCATGATGCGATAATTACAATTTCATGATGTTACACGCTGAATGTTCAGCAATAAACGCATGACGATGTATATATTTAATTCATCGATTCAAAATGTGCATGCGTTGATGCCTTGCTACAATAAAATACTATTGTTATCATTTAATTTTGGTGAGACACGATTATTATTACGGTAGCATCAGTTCGATGAATAAATAGCATTACAATTGCACATTAAGATTGTACGCAGCAATGTTAAAATAGAAACGAATTTTCTGTTACTAATACCGTGAAATGTACGACAGCAGCATGTTGCAGATGTTAGGACTTAATTACCGGAATAAATTACGTTAATTGGCTGTGGCAAACTACTGTGTGATTGTAAACGCCATGTTCACGGAATATCTTACTTTGCAACTTGCTCACGCGTAAAATATCGTAAATAACAGCACGTGTGGCGCGAACTTTCTCGAGGAAGCGGTGTGAAAATTAGGTATCCTCGTTGGGGGCCGGCTGGAACGTATCCAACGACGATTTATCGAATAAATTTTAAACGCTTTGTCATATGCGACCTCCGATCCGACGGCGGAGTGGTTGTGTATTGTTTAAATTTCATTTCACGAATTGCACAACGCGTGCACACCTGCGCGCGAACGCGCTGCCGGCGGCGCACGTGCTCCGCTCCGAATACGTGTATCAGACAACAAGGCAAGAACGGGTAGGGCCGCGGGGGCCCGGGGTGTCGGCGGGGTGTACGCCGTCGGAAAAGCCCGGGGGAAATACTGGAAGCCGCGCACAAGCCGTCCCGTCGGCCCTGGTCATTTTTCCCTTTTATGCGTTTCATTCGTTCGTGTCACTTCGTATGCTTGCACCCGGGTGCCGCTACACGTCAGTGTGCGTGCCCGCGCTCGAGTCCCGCCGTTGTTGAAGAAAGAAGAAACGGTTACGTTACGTACGGCGCAGTACAGTATCTCTTGAATATTTAGGAGGCGGGGGACATATTTTATTTAGACGAGCAGGGTGAAACATCGGTTTTCTGCGCGCGATGCGGCGCGTTTCGGGTCACAACGGACGCTTCAGAATTCGTCTTCGTGCGCCCTGAACATTCCGGTCCCTGATGCGCGCTACATGTACACGTATAGGGATTTGTAGGATACCGTCTTGTAAAAATTTGAACAATGTAATGACCCAGTCGAGAGAAATTCTTCAGCACGATTTGATTGACGGTGCAATTCTTTTTCTCTTATGTGTCCCACAGGATCGATAGTTCCTAAATTTACAACTTTTTTTCAGTTTCTGCTTAACAAGCATTTTACTTATGCATAGAAATGATGGGGCGATTTACATGAAAAGTAGGACATATGGACAAATGAAGACATATCTGGTGATGATATTAAAAGAATAATTTGGGTAAAATTATCGATTTTTCTTGAAATTAGCATTTGATGAAGACATGTAGAACATAACGAATAAATTATTCATTGAAATTTCTGAATCAACTAGCTAAATTATACTAAGGAAAACTTATATTTTGCGCTTATATCTAAGACTTATGCATATTTTATGCCGTACCACACGAAATAATGATGCTCTAAAATAATATAAAGTACAAATATAACTTTATTTCAGACTTATGAGATAATGACGTATCCATTCTCAACTTCTTTTACATTCTTTTATTCCTACTGAATTATTTCCTTTTATGAGATTACTATTTTTTTTGTACCAATTTTACCGCGAATTTTAACGATTGCTGGGAATATCGATATTGCGGTAAAACAAATTTCCTTATTTGCCTGCATAAAAATGTGTTTGCTATTCAAATATAAAAATCAGAATTTTAGAAATCAGATTAGTAATTCTGCTGCAAGAGATTAAATATTTAATGATCAGATTTGTGTTGCATGTGCAATATAATTTTATACAATTTATTTAAATTAAATTTATTTATTTATTACTTATGTATTTTTCTGTCTTTTTTACTATCTATTTTTATTCTAAAAGTATATTTATATTTGATTTGTAAATTTCGCCATATTATTGGCACAAATTGTGAAATTTTTACTATTGATAAATGGATATTGGAAATTTATATTTTTATTTAATAATACAGGTTCTAAGTCAATATTTTTTTAATAAAATCTCTTAATAAAATTTTTTTAATAAAATTTTTAAAATAAAATACATGAAAAAAAGCGTAGTGCACAACAATGATATAAAATATAAATATTTTCGAATGTAACATTTTACATTTATAGGGAAAATTAGAAAGTACATAAATATAACATTAATTAATTTAAACATTAAATATTTATTAATTTTAATTTGGTTTTAAGATTAATATTGGAATTAAGAATCAAAAGTTCTTGTCGATGCACAAAGAATCACAAACCTAAATTTTCTATATGCCTATTCTTATAATTCTTGTAGGTCTTTGTAGGTCTTTCTTTAATTAAAAAATTAAAAAATTTTAATTCTCCAGAAAAGAGAAATTCTGACAATCACTTGCAATGAAATCCTATCAACTCTCCAAAGAAACATTACATAAATTCAGAATTCAATCAAATAATTCAATCAAATATTACTATTCTACATTGTCTTTGCTCATTTTGAAATTGTAAAATGAAATAAATAGCGATGTAATGAGCGGAAATAACACAGTGAATTTACATGTTGAGTACGCATTGGCATGTTCGTGCTTTAATAATGTACATAATACGAATCATTACTGCGCATCAGTTCATTAGTTCATTTGTACAATCTGTGCAGAGAGAATATTTGCGTAAAACAATAAAATTACATCCCATAAATTTATTTTACGTGTTTATTTTTAATCACTTTTATAACCGATAATACAAAATATTTTGTTCGTGAAAAAATCTGTTCCAAGTTTAAAAAAAATTTGATTAAAGTTAAGATTGATAGTTTCGGGGCAATCTGTATTTCAATTTGACTAAGATTTCGTGTTGACATAACGCGATTTTTTTTGAACTTTTATTCATAATTCGGACAGATATGTAGTACACGGTTTCGTATATATCGTGTTTCTAGTACATTCGCCGTTGCAATGCGGGCAAAATGGTGCTGCTGCATAAACCATCGCGCGCGGCGGGAAGAGAAAACGCGCGGGGGTATGAGAACATAATTCGGTTGGCATGCACGCGTTTCCATGTGCCGTCTCCGCAAGTGGTAGCCTAGTTCATCAGGCATGTTGATGAGACATGCACAATTTAGCGGGTTGACTTTTTACGTTAACTGCCTACGTTTTCGCTCTGTCGACGTTGCACTTGAGTATACGCGACAATTCATGCAGTTGTCTCTGTCGGTGCGCGATGATAAGAACGGAGACTGTTTCCTGCTGTTGTGAAGTATAATACCTTTTCTCTCAATTGGTCGTATAATTACGACGTAGCTAAGTTATGATGATAGTCCGCAACGAGAGCATAATTGACGGAGTGCTATTTACATCGGGTATTAAAAATGCATGCATTAAAAGTGCGGAAGATACTAGTAATGAAGAGCTGCAGGGGGAATAAGCTCTACATCATTTCACTCGAGAAGAAATCTTTAAGCAAATAAAAAATAATTTTATTTTTAAAGATAATCTGACAATGGTAATGAATTATGAACGCTATAAAACTCGATTGAGTGCATCCGAGTTATTTGAAAATGTTAAAATATTGAAATATTGAAAATTTTACTTATCTTAACCCAAAGTGACTAGATTTATGTTATATATATGAGTGATTCAGTTTATATAAATTGATAAAAATACTTGATTTATTGAAAATCTTGACTAAATTTTAGAGATAAAAATATCAACGTGTATGTTTGTGTTCTCCGAATCGCATTTGAATGCGACTTGTTACATATAACATTTTTCTGTGTAAAAAAATATCTGTCGGATATTTATTGGAATAACAAGCGCTGTGCACAATGAACGATGCACATTCATAGAATCATGATCATTTGCCCGTGCTTGTACATCAGCGCAACCCATGGTGTGCTTCCTGGTTTACCACAAATCCACAAATTGCCAGCGTTGACTTTAATTAATGCACACTTCTCCCTATTTCCTACCATCGATTACGTCTATATCTGCCGCAATTAAACTCAACTATGTTATATTTCTCTCTCTCTCTCTCTCTCTCTCTCTCTCTCTCTCTCTCTCTCTCTCTCTATCTATCTGCCATTGTTTATAGACAGAAAGTAAATTCTAAAAAAGTTTCTAAAAATTTTATTTTATTCAGAACATTTTTCAAATTATTATAATTTTTAAAGATTTTATGTTGTACAATATATATATATAATTTATGATAATTTTTTTTTCTCTGATAAAAGTTACAAGGAGGAGCATCGTCGGCACGTTTGGAACGCATTGAATATGATTTTCCTCGTTAAAGGGTATAACGATCTCCCGGCACCTGGTGTCGTTTTACACCAGTGCCCGTCTATGAACGCATTATTATTCCCTTATTGTATCATACACCCCGCTTGCGGAGTTTGCAACTTTAATTTAACCCGTTACCAAAGCGCACACTTGCAACTAACGTCGCGACGCGTACGAGGGCGCATCCGACGTTGGATTAATTCGAAACGAAGAAGGAGCCATTTCTGGTTTAGTTGCCGAGTTAGAAAATTGTTCGTCCGGAATGGTGCAGCTCGCTGCGAGGAATACGAAGAGAGTAAAGACGAAACGTCGCGCGGAGCGACGTCGTCTCGCACGGTCTTAACTCTTCATTGCGTAACCTTAACGTCGGCGTTAGACTTGTAACCATAATAGACTTTGTTCCCAACTCGTTTCCCGACCGCGGCGCATTTTGCGGAACGCCATGCCGGAAAGTACAAACTTGATCCGTCGTGTCTGCATTACGAGAGAGCTTAATATTACTGGTACGCCACTGTGTAGTTTTTAATTTTATCATGTTGCGACTGCACGTTTGAGGATAATAAACAAACCGCATCGCGTAGGTTTTGGAACGTCTGATTCTAAAATAAATGTTCCGTGTTCGTGTTTAAAACTAATTCTAAAATTGCGTAATTTTTTTGCGTTCCATGCGTCGAAAGAACTTGCGTACATTTTGTACCTCTATATGTTTCCATAGCACGCCCTTGCCTGCACAGAGTTTATAATCTTTTATATATGTAATTTTATACATGCCGTAACTTTTGGATAGTACATAGGAAACGAAAAGTTAGTTCCGATCCGAATTTAAATTTTATATTACTTCAAGTGGGTTTGATTATGTACTAACAAAACTATATAAATCATGTTATATATTTTTTCTCTTTAATTGAAATGTAAATTTATATTCCGAAAAGAGATCTCATTTTAGATCTACAAATAGCAATTCAATTTTTCTATATTAAATTTTGAACATTTTTAACATATTCAAAATCGTGGATTGAAAAAATTTTTGATATCACGATCCTCTTTTCGACTGTAATAATTTAATTGAATTTTAAATTAAGGATAAAAATAAAGTTGAAACGAGATTATTATTAATGTTCCAGTTTCTCCGATGATCTTCGTGCCGAATCAGCTGGTCGGTGCGCCAACGGGCACCAACGTAACGATCGATTGTCACACGGAAGCTTATCCCCGTGCCATGAGCTACTGGTTTTTGGGGGGAAGAAATGATTCTCTCCCATGAGAAGTACACCACGAACATTATGGAGAACAGCTACCGCGCGCACATGAGGCTCACCATCAGAAATCTGACATCTAGTGACTTTGGTAGCTACCGGTGCATTAGCAAAAACTCGCTGGGCGAGACCGAGGGATCCATCAGATTATACCGTAAGCTGACGTGCACTTTTTAGCCCGTCCGTGTCCGGACAAACAATTTTTTTTTTCCGACCGTTATCTTTACGCGTCTACCGCGCAGTGTTTGCTGCGCGAGATATCGTAGGGCGACGCGAACGTGCTCGGGACGTGAATAATTTAAAAGTAAAACGAACGCTATAAATCGCGAATTCTTGAGCCTTTGTTTAATTTCACTCGAGTCAAAGATTTATTTAAAGTCGAGCTGGATGTTAGCAGTAAATCGGCGCGGTTAAATCGCCGAGGAAATGCCCGCCGTTATATCCCGCCGCGAAATCCCCGCCGCTCGGCGATAAGATGACCCCCAAGTTAAAATATGAATAAGGCGGCGGAGTTCGAGTTAAATTTATTGGCCGATATTTAAGAAGTTATACGATGTCATTAAAGATGAACGATTTTTATTTCAGCTATTCCGAAGCCGTCGGCGGCACCGAAGGCGACGGAGATCAAGAGCAGCGCCAACAAAGAAGGTGAGAACCTTATTGAATATATGCATTCCGACCTCGGAAATCGATATCATCGCCGCTCTCCTAGCAATTGCCGCGCGCAGGCAAATTCATTATCCACATTTTATTCCAAAATCGTAGATCCTTAAGACGTTTTCTCGCTTCCTTCGGCGCACTCTATCCCAAACGAAAAAAAGGGGTGACGCAGGTGCGGCTAGCTCGAGGAAAAAATAACTTTAAGCCGGAGTGAAAGGGTGGTCTAAATTAAGGCGATACATCACGCGTTTTTCATGGGAAAGTAATAATTTGCATTTTTCCAGCGTCCGCGTACGTCGGTGATATCACTTAACAGTATCGTACGACCAGTAATTAAATCGTCAACGAGAATCTTCAATTTCTATTCGGATATTTCGTACTGTGTCTGACTAAAGTGCAATTCGGAATTGGTCTTTATTTTAGGTTCGCAAAGTCCGCGCACTGGCGCATCGTATTATTAAATTATTAATTTACCGTGGACGACCATTTATTGTCGCATATCAAAAACATTTGTTACTTCCGCATCGAGCGAGTACGGGCAGAGATTGTCGCGCCGATCAAACAATCGCGGAGTAAGGGAATGTTTTTTTTTTTCGAAGGGAATTATTCCGATATTTCGTATTGCGCCTGACTAAAATACAATCCGAAATTGGTCTTTATATTAGGTTCGCAAAGTCCGCGCATTGGCGCATCGGTGTATTATTAAAGCAGGGCGAATAACTTGGGCGGATGCCTAGGTCAGGTCCCTATGGTTCTGCTGCCTCCGTGTTCTCCGATCTCCTCTCCTCAACCTCGCGAAACCAATCTCAATATACTGCATTATTAACGCCATACAAGGCTCGGCCACGACGGTATTACCGCCATTAAGCTTCGCAATTTTACCGTACCGGGCTCCGTCGGCTGCTACGGTGGATTATCGCTATTCCGAAGCGCCCGGGGAGCACCGGCCGTTCTAATGAATAATTGTTATTTGCGAATTTTCGCGAGCGGCTTTTGCGATGCTTGCCCCTCCCTCGATATTGATGTCGTCACCGCTGAATTTTCTCGCGACCCGACGATCGTAAAAAGCTCCGAGATCGTAACCGAGATTTACGAGCGCCGGAAGCGTAAGTCCGACACGCGATTTCTTTGCGATTCGGGGGAGGAGGAGGGGGGTGGGGATGGCGAACGCGCGATTGTACGTGCAAATAATGGTAATCGAAAAGGTTCCTTCACGACGGGAGACGCCTTTCCGCGCGTGGGAGAGTCGTCGTAGCTAACGTACCCATTTTCCCGGCTAATGTAATTTACCGTATTAACGATTCGCATGTAGATGCGCATACTTCGCGCGCAAGACGAGACAGCACCTTCACCATAATGTATGGCCTCGACTGCTGATTAAATATTACGAGAAACTTTGGCGAAATCGGCAAGGGACGCGTCGCGTTCGTCTCTCTCGCGTCTCCGAATCAATCTTAATACTACGGGGTTATTAATGACCTAGCCGAGGTATGCAATAACTCACGAACACGACATTAAGCGCCTAGCAGTTTCCAATGGGACTGCCGTTCGTCTTATCTGCCCAGATAAGATTACGCCATTTGCGGAACGATCTGTAATTCGAAATGCAGGACCCATACGACAACATATCAAAAGTCGCGCGACGAAAGAATGCAACGGAGAGGATATTCGATCGAGCGAAGAATATCAGTTTTGCATAAGAGACGAGAGACGCGATGAAAATTTTTAAAATATCAATATTCTGTACGATCTCTATATTGCACGATATCATATATTCACGATTTTGGCACGATTTTATACATTTCATATATAACTTGTTATTATTTCCGCAAAAATAATACATAACATTAATAAAAGTTATTTGATAATATAAAAAAATGAAATTAATCTGTGCCGGAATTCCTATTGCATTCGCATATTGTATAAATCAAGGTTTATCTTTCTGTCTTGTCTAAATCAAAATGCAGCTTTTAATTTTATATCGCGATATTACATTGGTGGCTTAACTAGTGGCCTAATTAAGTGCATTTAAAATTCAATTACTGACGTCGCTGCAAGTGGAGTGTACAAAGCGAGATTGTATCGTTGACATGGTAGATACTAGACAGTACTATTGTTCTTTGGAAAGGAAATCGTGGAATTATACCAAGGATCTAATTTTCTCAGAAGCATTTGAACGATCTGTTAGATGCTTTGAGAATTTTCACTCATGATGTGAATCGCCCTCTTGATTTTGGTACCGAAATTTGTAGCATTTTTGTATTATTTTAATAACGAGAAATTGTGTAATAGCATTGTCCAATGCAGCTCGCGTGGCTATAATTTTCAGTTTTACCGATAAATTTGAACATACGCAAAGTATCTTTGTATTAGCAAAAAACAAATAAAAATATGGCTTTTTGATAATCATAAACATTATTTACAATTTTATTAATAAATTTAATACTGAGTAATCGTGCTGGTGTTTCATTTTTTGCAAAATTGCGTAATGATAATAAATACAAATATCTACCTTTGTTTTTAAATCTTCGTTCTTTGCTACAAACTAATACTTTTGAATAAGATAACATTGCTTGAATATCAAGCGGTATGAAATTATCTTAATTGTCTTTGCTGTTAGGTTAGGTTAGGTTAAATAAATCTTGTGGCAAAAAAAGCTTGAAATTAATTCATCGAGAGCATGTAATATTTAATAATACCCGCATACTAATTGCCTAGCAAAATAGCTATCGATTTTGCTAAGCGTGATTAATTAAAGTGAGATAAGGAGGCCAGAATTATTTCTGGCATCAGACCATATGCCATGTCGCGTATTCTGGTATGCAATATGTTTGGTTTGGATTATCGTATATACTATAAATACAACTATATAACGTTAAACATTAATATAATACATTAAAAAATGAATAAAAACAAGGAGAAATCGCGAAAAATGCTTTTTAATTAATTGCAGTGACAGAACGAGGTATTGTGAAAATAACTTGAAAAATTATTTTGCTTATTGAAACAACTAATTTTCCAAATGCTAAAAGTAAATTTATTGCGTATGCATTGATTGCTTAGGTATGCAATTAAGATATGCAAAATTTAAATACCATTATGCGATTGCACTGATGAAAATTTAATATTACAGATAATTTTGAAACAATGCTTGATTGAAAGATTCAAAACAGAACCGTAATAAATCCGTAATTACAACACGATTCTAGACTTTACATTAAAAATAAATCATACAAATTTATCACTTTTTCCTGAACCTTTTAATAAATGATAAATTTATTTATTGCGCTTAGATATACAAAATTATTCGTTTTGTTCAACAAAATAGATAACTTTGCATCAAGTTATTCTAGATAATAGTTATCGAATATAATTGATTAATGAGACAAGTTGGAATTATATATTATCCCTTTCGATATTGGAATATTTGGAATTAATATTACCATCTATGTATTATCCGCACGAATGTTTAATTGAAAAGATTGACGTTATCTGCGGCGTACAAATTCCTCTGCAGATTTTATGTCGCGATTAAAAAGTTGTGAAATGCTTCTTCTTCGATTATCAGAATCAATTTGCTCATTAAACAGATCAAACTCGATCACGGGGATACAAAGTCTTAATTGGAACTTTGTTACATTTAGCCTTTTTGTTCCAATATAAATCTTCAAGTTCAAAACAGGCGGAGAATCTAAGTAAAAAGAATAGCTTTTACTAAGAGCTCTAAAACAACTTTCAACTTAGTTCAATTTAATTTAAAGTACTTTTCGAAAAGGATTCTCTGGGAAAATACAATTCTCATTTCACACCGACATGTTCGATACCGACTCTATGTATTACTAAAAATATTTCAAAAGTAATACTTGCTGTTTTTCGAGAACACGTTCTACAGCGCGACTATGCTTTTGATAAATCGCGGATCGAAACTATTAATAACATCATCTCGCTATTTTATTCTCCTCAACTGCACTTGCGAATCTGCTCTCCTATTCCCCTCACTTGTTTTCTCTTCTCGCTTCTCAGTTTTCTGTCTTCGCGAAACAAATTCTTCTTGGCTCTCGCCGCGGCACTTTGGAGGAGGTGCCGCGAGACTCTTAAATTTTCAACGAGTTATTTCGAAACTTCCTAAACAAGCCTCGACGCACCCAGAGAAAGGGCAACAAAAGGAGGCGAGGCTGGATGAAATACGAGCCTCGTTGTGATTGCTCGACGGCCAAAAAAACGACATTAACGCCGGTATACCTATTCGTAGGCATCGCGGCAGAATACGTGTAAATATAAAGATGCGCCCACGTGTTCTCGCGGCAGGCAGGTGACCCAGAAGTTTGCCATATTGTTAGAGAACCGCGGCGAAACGAAGTTTGTCCGGGGCGTATTTAAACTTTTATTTGAAAACTTTTTAGTGCTCACCCTCGCGCCAAGTTAGCGGCTGGGCGGGTTAAAGGGTCGCTTGTTTGCAAACCAGAAAGACTGTAGGACGTAACGAAGAAAGAGGAGAGCGTTGTCGGCGGGAGGGCGGAGAGACGGGGATGCGTACGGAGAGCACATTGTTGGCCTAACCGACGAGCGGCAGAATGCGGAGAACTCGCTCGAGTGAAAGCGACTCGAGGAGAAGCAAGCTCACTCGAGGGAATTAATTAAGAGATATTCGTACACATGAAGTGTTTGAATAACGGTCTAGGTATATTTATTAACATTTTTCAAATACATTCGGAAACATCTCGTATAGGCAATGTGACGTGCAATTTTGAACCGATACAATTTATCGAACGGATGCTTCATTATTGCTTTCTCTTTAATTTGCCAAATTTTAATTCGACAACTTGTGCTTCTCAGAAAAATATATTAAATTAACATTTTTACAAGAATCTGAAAATCTGTTTCAAGTGGAAAAAAACATCCCGGCGCCTTGCGAGTAGTCGGAGTTACGCCGGTATAATTCATATACTTCGAATTACTTCGCGACATAGTTTTCGAGATCACATCGACGAACGACACGCGTGGGACCGCGAACGATGGTAGTTTGAATAATCTGCGCGATTATGAGGAACGAAATAAGCGTCAAGCCGGCTTGCTACCAAGTCACGGAGAGCGAGTCTCCGCGCAGTAGAAGTATACAGGCCCCGTGGCGAATATCAACTTGAATTACACCCCAGGTTGATACGCACTGTACAGAATTATCGTGTAAGTAAAGTTTCAATCTACCGTTGGCGAAGGATGCGATTCTCCCGGGATGCACTTTCGTATTTACAAAGATAAGACGCGCCGTGTATAATCTTATATCGCTGACAGTATAATCGAATCAGACACGGCGTGTGCATTGTCTTCCGCGAAGTAGCGTTTGTTAAACAATATGTGATTATGTTGCCGAGGGAGTTATTTAATAGCGTTAGAATAATTGCGGCACTGGAGCGCATGTATTAAACAATGTAATTTTGACTCCTAACAATTTTATATTGATATTCAAATTACTCAAAAATATTCGTGTCATCATTAATTCGTAATTATTCTAATGGACTTTACTTTATTCTAGATGGAGCGGACAGAAACATTCGTTATTTTTATCTTCCTGAAAAGCATTAAAAAGTAGTAGTTGATAATTACAAAGACAAGATAATTATGTTATCATACTCTCGTGAAAATTAAATAATGACATAAGTTGATTCTCTTTAGAAAGAATTGCTCTTAAAAATCACAATAATTGTATTTAAGACAAATAAAATTACGCGTTGAGCAGTAATGAATTAAGAGAATTCCCCTTCCGGCCTCTTTTTTCCACGAGAATTTCTCGTAAGAAGACATTTCGTTCAATGGAACGTCCGTCGGCATCGAACGCAACAAGTTGAACTTGGCTCGTTTTCAAAGAAGCTCGTAGAATTTATCAAACCTTACGCTCGCCACGAGTATGCGCGCATACGTTTTCTATCACATTTATTATCAATTAAGTTCTCCGCTTATTTTAAACGACATAGCAGGCAGACATAATTACCAATTTAGCAAAAACTAGAGCACTAAAAAGACACAAAAACCGAAGACCCCAATCTCTTGTTTTTCTTTTACTATAAGTTTTTTCTACAAGAAAAAATTTAATTAGAGAACCTCAATCAAATATTAATACAATTAGATTAAAATAATGCTTTAATCTACATGTTTATTTTCCAAGTAATTTTCTTAAATTCTTTTGTTCGAAAGTTTTTATATATTTATTGTTTGATATAAAATAAATGTTTTGGTAGTATAATACATTTAGGAGCGCAGATATAAGCAGTTGATGTACATATAATATGAGTAGACACAAAAGAAGTTTTATACGTTTAATCCGTTCTAAAATCTGAAGTTTAGATGACCATTATGCGCTAAAATAGTTGCATCGCGTTACCGCAATATTGGTTAAATTTCCATCATCCTGTGTAGTTATGTTGCTGCGGCTTTGTATGGTGTAGAATAGCACGCATATACGATAAAATCAAATGCAGGAATGAGAGGAGCACGGGAGGAAGAGAGCGAGATGAAAGAGAAAGAAAGAGAGATGGAGAGAGAGAGAGAGAGAACACACTGGACTGGATTATTGGCGGGTATAAGAAAAGAAAGCAAACGGAGAGTGCCTGGGTTAGATGAGAAAGGTCCTAATCTATTTTCAGGACGACCGAGCACGCCACCACCAGCAAAAAGGCTGACCACCGTGTGGCCCTCCTCGTACAACCCCTATTCGAAAAGGACAGAGAAACCACCTCCATACTCGCCGCCGAGTGAGGAGAGGGTCGACAGGCCCGAGCAGAAACTACGCGGTAGCCAAAGTACAGGTGAGGCTTGCATTCTCTCACCAGGCCCTCCCTGCTTTCCTGTTTTCTTCTCTAATTACTGTGACTGCCCCTTTCAAAGCGCCTCTTTCATTCGCGTCTCCCATTCGCTTCATTCGACCACGCTCAATTCCTGCTTTCGCGGCACCAACCTGATTTCTGAAATATAATTTGAGCGGTATCATGCGCTATTCTGCACCATGCACTCGAATATGCGGGCCGTCGCGAAAATAATAAACCGCGTTATATCTTCCGAAATGAATTGCTAATAGAACGGCGCACGCGGATGCCGTCACAGAATTTATCATAATGTCAGGAATACTAAGTGATTGCATTATTAACACTTTATAAATACGAACTGAGAGGAAATTGTGTAGCTGTGAAAATATGCCTATTCCTTTAAAAGTACGGTTATATAGAAAAAAAGTTCTGGACGTAGATATATCTTCGTCTGTTTTTTTTATAAGACACTCATACGTTTACTATATTTATGGATTTGAGAAACAGATACATCTCCGTCCGATAGTATTGATCACACTATATATATTGGAAATACATAAGCTATTTCATATATCCCGGAAAATATTTTAAATGGATTTTATTGATGGATTTAAAATCGATTTCCATGACTCAAATATTCAGCAAATGTTTGTTAATACGAAAAATAAAAGGATTTTTTCGAAATGTAAAAATTGATCTGCGATATTTTGTGGAGAATGCGTAGATCGTGAATATTGAAGATTTATGATATACTATGTAAATAAAAGAAATAATAGTGCTTTTTATATTTCTTAATTATTATCACGATTAGTTCAATTATTAATTCAGATTCACCTAATTGTACATGAGATAACAATTTTCTAAATGTCACTTCTAAATGTATTTTAAGAACATTGATTGTATATGATTTTAATAAGTGGCATGCTTAAAACGATTCATATTTGCACATCTTTTATCCCTGTTGTTACACGCCTAAATTATTACTCAAGTTTCTCTTAAGAAATTTATCTTCTTAAATTTTATCTAGAGCTTTATATAGAGATTTTACATTTAATGTAGATACATATACGATTTGTGTTCGCAACATAATTTGCAAATCGTAAATTTGCTTTAATGTTTGCAAAAAAATATTGTAATGCCAAAATAGAGCGACTTTAAAATCTATCAGCCAAAACCAAAATACTAGAAAATTAACAACCATTAAAACTAATTACAAAAAAATCTCATTAAAATACTCATATATCTTGCATGATCTCCATTCTCTTTCGTCTGCACTTGCAAAATTTATGATTCTAATAAAATGCCAATTTGTCACATTAATTTTTCACATTTTTGTAAGGTTTTATTTAACGATTATCAATTTATTTTCACAATTATGTTTCTTGTAAATAAATAAATGTAGAATATTGATTATTTTTTACAAGTTTCTTCATTCTAGCATAAATATATAACGAGCATATTTTAATCTTTGTATATCTCTGGCGCAGCCAAGCATTTCTCGATGTCGTGATAGTATGCAGTCATTGCCTCTGTCTTGACGAAGCTCGAAATAGACGAATAGGCGCTCCGATCGTTAACGAGATAACGAGCTTTAGCGAAATGGCCTGAGAAGCCATTTCGTTCCGCTGCCATTAAATTCAGGACAGAAGCGTAGCGTGCCAGAACGGAATTCCTAATAAGATGTTTATTCCTTAATGACTAATGTAGGCTATTATGATTATGCTAAATTACTAGTAAATAAAGCGGCATGACCGCTTGCTAGTAATTTGTTTACTTAGTCAATTTTATCTTCGTATTATACACATTATTTTCTTCGATTCGGAACGATTATATTCTTACGACCAACCATAATTATTCCTATAATTCGACACGATTTTGACGCCAACAATAACATTATTGCAATTCAATTATTAAAAATAGTCTTAAAAACGCAGAGTATCTCAAACGATCACTTCTTATTCCTTCTGTTATTAATAAATTTTCGAGTAAATTGGAAGATTCTTTCTAGACTTAATCGAAGTTGTATTTCTGCAATCGATGTATTTTTGGATGTACTGTTTGCCTTTAAATTCCGTAAGATTAATCACGCTTTCAAATAAATCGCAGCAAGTTAATCTAGAGCCCGAAAAAAAATGACTTCACGCGGTACAACACGGGAGATACAGTACATATCGTCACGTGTGCAGATATTAAGGCAAGTAACGAACGTCAATTTTCATTGAAACATTTGTTATTTTATTATTGCAATACAAACGACCATGTGTGCACCATCCATATAGCAAAATCTCTAGGGTGTTATTACGCGGCAAATGTGTGTCAACCATGAAGCATTGCATGTGTGTCTGCCATTCGTTTTCATTCATTAGAAGTTGTTAGCAGTGTAATATTTTACTTCATCAAGACAAGGCTGAACGCTAAATCATAAAAGTCCCGACGTAGCCATCATAATTTTTTTTGCAAAGGATCACCAAGATCACTGAACTTATTCCCTTGATAATACTTTATTTAGAAAGGAAAAACAGTTCTATTTCGCTATAAAAATAAATAGCGGATAAATTCGAAAAAAATTATAACAAAAACAGAAGCGGCACGTAGCTGTGGTTGTACTCCGGATGCAGCGCCGTTCAATTTATTCATGCGCCGCTTTTGTACAACGCATTAAAGATGCAACAATGACCTCTATTCCTTACACGATAGCGGCCTCGCAAGAGAGCCCCATGCCGTATTTCACTGCGTTTTTCTACGACTTTCTGTTGTTACTATCGCGCTACCGTCGTGAATGTTTAATCTAATAAAATAGTGAAATAAGGAAGTCCGCGCCAGAAACGCCGCTGCACCGCGGAGCACGTGTACCAGCTTCCTTACGACCGGTTGCAGCTGCAACTGCGGCAGACTTCACCGCGGCATAAGACAATAAAGGAATATTATTCCATATCAGAATTTTGCGCAGAAATCCGCGCTACTAATCAATATCCGCAGTCCCGCTCTGCAGATTATTTATTAATAATATATTTTGAATAGTCATTTATCGATACTGAGCTGTTCAATTCAATTTGGGTCAATATCTAAAAAGATTCATAATCTTAAATAAAAATGACAATAAAGAGAAGAAGAGTAAAAATTTTTATATTATTTTATATAAAAGTACGAGAAATATGTTAGTTTCCATTATAGATGTGGATAAAATTTTCAATATAATTTAATTATTATTATATCTTACCACACATGGACTTTGATTAAAATTATATTATGCATTGTTATCCCTGCGAGAATTTTATTATAATATGTAAATATGAATGCATATTAATTTCTGTGCGGACAAAATCGCAGAGTCGCAAATATGACTATGTTTTAATCGAAATTTAGATAAAAATAATAATACATATATGTATAAAACTTTTGAACTTTACTTCATTATTATCATTTTTATTTAAAACCATAAATTTTTTAATTAATATATTATATTAGTGAGATCAAAGCAAATATTGTGATGTTTAAGTTTTACGATTTTTGTTTAAATTGAGACTGTAGAATTATCTTCTATTTGGTGTATTCAAGCGTTCTAATAATTAATTGCCATGTTATATTAATTACCAAAACGCATTGCAGACAAAATAATTGCATTTGCAACAGCGAATATGTAGAACGCGGAATCCTAATTCCGGCCTGAATAAATGTCAGATCAGACGGTTCGTCGTGATTAGCAAAGCGCTTATTCAAGATATTGACGTTGCGACGCCGTGATACCGCATATAGAGGGTGATATATAGGGTGAGCTGTAAGATTACTCGCATCCTTTTGTTTTCGGATTCCTAAAATAATTTAGACTATTTCCCATTTTTTGAACTTTGATAGCGGTATTCGAATTTTAAATATTTCTATCAATTGAATAAAGTTTCTAAATTTAAATCGATTATAGTTTATTTGATATTAGATAAAAAGAATGCTTTTTGTATACACTTTGAAATTAAGTTCGACAAATTTCTTCTAATAGATCGTGAAGAGGAAAATGTTGCAATATACATATATATTTCAAGAAATATTAAACTAGGAAAAAAGGAATACTAAACTTCAAATTGGAAAAGTATTGATAGAAAGTGCGACACCAATTTGGAACACTCTGTGTGTAACGCGTTCAAACAAGGATACGCATTCATGCTCTTGTATCTGCCATCCTGAAATATGCATGGGCATCCCTTAGTACGTTTAGGAGGAAATTACGTAGGAACAACACGCGCGGCCTCTACAGCATCCTGTTAATATTAAGTACGCTTCCCCCGCATTATCCTCAGGTACTAGATACCATCGGGCGTAGCCACCTGCCAGTAGTCGTGCTTTTAGCTAAGCGCGCCCCAACGTACGCATGGATGCGTCAGCCAGAAAGGAACCTTAAGTTTCAAATATCCAGCTATTAAGGGATGCGTAATAATACATTTTCAATGTATCTTTCCACTTCCCAAAATGGTGTATTACATGAATTACTTAAGCAGCCTTGTTCAGCGATCAGCACCGCAAGAATTTATCTGCAATTTCTGTACATTATATCCCTCGTGTAATGATGATTTTATTAAAATTGTTTTTAAAGTTAATGCAGCTCAGCAGAATTGTAGCTATTCAGGTTTTAATTAAGAACATTGGCATTTGAGAAAAACAACACGTGTCGGATATGAAGGTTAATAAAGCGCGTTAAAACGATAATGAGTTTCAAAAGTTTCTATAATTGGAAGCTGGGTATGTTTGGTGGTAGTTAGTTCTCGGTAATTTTGTTTATTAACTCGTTAAGCTGTTATAACTGTAGCAAATAATTTCGCAAACATGTTATTTTAAATTCATCAACGACGCATTAAATTTTTGAACTTTAAAAATAGCACAATTCGTAACACATGCTATACAGTGATTGTTTTTATATCGTAAATATCCATAAAGAAAAAAAAGATTTATTATAATATGTTTAATTTATGACAACAAATTACTCTACACACAGAAAAATACATACTGTATTT